AAGTCATATCCAGCCATGGTGAATTCTTAATAGTTCCTTATCTGGGCCAGTAAAGAGTACATCCCATGGATTACAGGGTTTGACTGAAAGGAGAGCCCGTTAAGGGTCTGTATCACTACTTATATGTTTCTTCTATAAGGTCCTTTTCTGATGCTTCCCTTAACCTCGTGTGGAGAATACCTTGAGTTCTCAAGGCCTATGGCAGGGGAGTACATGGTTGGGCAGGTTCAACTATGCTGGAGTGGCCTCAAGTTTAGTTTCTCAGACAAACTATGTATGCTTTCCAAGGGCCAGATTAGTTAAGTACAGGTAAACTCATTACCAGTAAACTAACCACATAGTGACGAATTCTTTACCCATGACAACCCATGAAATGAAGAAAAATATAAAATGGTCCCCAATCCTATATTGTGCTCTTCTATGTTCACATTAATGCTGACAGAGTGGCATAAAGGAGGTAGAGATTGCTAAGAATCACATGGTTTTAGACTATCTATGTACAGGAGATGTAAAGGAGTTTCCCTAAACAATTAGTTTTCCTAAAACAACCTAGATAACAACTAGTATAAAGGGGCTACTTAAACAACAAAGAAGGATTTCAGCAAATTTCATAAACTGGAGACAGCAGAGATGACAGCCAAGAATCAAGGCCATACACCCCATCCAGGGCCACAAGAAATAGTGGGAGATCATCACAAGAAGACATCACTGGAAGTGCTGGGAATATAAGCAGCCTTGGCTTTATATGTTCCTTATGTGCGTATCAATCCACCTGTGAGCACTATGGGTGTCCATGCGTCCCACTGATGCTACTCGTATTTGTGAGAGAGGATCCCCAGGTTTATGGGAGACAGGTTTAATTACTATTTTTCTTACTATGAAGCTTCAGTAAATGACTTTGCTTTGAGCTAATTGTTTCGTCTCATTGATTGTTGAAAGCTAAGCACATCAGCGAGGGCTTGTGGCCTATATAGTTTTAGGAGCTCAGCCCATAGAGTACTTTGAACCCCGAGGGGGGACTCAACATTCAAATATGGGTTAGGGGAAATCTCCATGACACCTATAAATGTTCATTTAACTTCTGCTACTCTAAAGTGTGAGAACTTCGGCCAATAATCAGGCAGACATACTGCTGGAGGAAGTGAATCATCTCCATCTTGACACTCTTGCTATAAATGAAAACAGCAAGCAAAAAGGTGCTAATAAATGGAAGAATCACCTATCAGTTTTTCTGGGAGAGGCAAAAAATTAATTGGTATACTAATTAGTCTTTCCAGGTTTTCTGAAAACATCTTGCTCATCATTTCTTATAGCACAATAGCATTCCATCACAATCATATACCACAACTTATTCAGCCATCCCCCAATTGATGGGCATCCCCTTGATTTTCAATTCTTTGCCACCACAAAAAGAGCTGCTATAAATATTTTTGCTCATCTAGGTACAAATATTTTTGTACAAATAGTTTTATAGCCTTTTGGGCCTAGTTCCAAATTGTTCTCCAGAATGATTAGACTGGTTCACTACTCCCCCAGCACTTCATTAGTGTACCTATTTTTCCTCATCCCCTCTAACATTTGTCATTTCTGATAGGTGTGAAGTGGTACCTCAGAGTTATTTTGATTAGCATTTCCCTAATCAATAGTCATTTATAGAATTTTTATATGACTATAGAAAACTTTGATTTCTTCTTCTGAAAACTATCTGTTCAAATCCTTTGACCATTTGTCAACAAGAGAAGGGCTCTGCCTATGTAGACTCCTTTAAACCTCCCTAATAATGATAAAGGTCTTAGGAGTCATATGTATCATCTTTCCATATAGGAATGTAAATAGTTTAACTTTATTGGGGGGAGGCACTAGAATTAAGAGGGATTTGGAAAGGCTTTCTGTAGAAGATGAAATTCTATCTGAGACTTGAAGGAAGTCAGGAAGCCAGTAGGCAGGGACAAGGAGGGAGAGGATTCCAGGCATTGAGAACAGCCAGAGAAAATTCCCAGAACCAAGAGATGGAAAGTCTTGTTCTTGAAAATAGCAATGAGGCCAGTATCACTGGCTCAAAGAGTGTGTGGCAGGGCACAAGGCATAAGAAAACTAGAAAGTAGCAGGGGGCTAGGTTATAAAGGAATTTGAATGCCAAACAGAGGCTGTTGCATTTGATCCTAGAGTCAATAGGGAACAAGGGGAGTACAGATCTGCACTTTAGGACAATCACTTTGGTGGCTGAATGAAGGATGAAACGGAATGGGAAGAGATTTGAAGCAAGCAAGTCTATCCCTGCTCCAATCTATCACCCATCTGGCAGTTATCAGAGGAGAGAAGGGGGTGTTTTTACCACTTGTCAAATATGTGATACTGGAGATTCCTTTGGTGTATGGGGTTGGACTCTACCCTGAGCATCAATCCTACTTCACTAATTGCCTATTGGGTGTTTAAAAATGGATTTCCCAGAGATATCTCAAACTTAACACGTCCAAAAGAGAACTCATTATCTTTTCCCTAAAACTCTCTCCTCTTCCCAATTTCTGTCAAAGACACTACCCTTTTCCCAGTCTCCCAGGTTCATAACTTAGGAATTATTCTTGACCACTCACTTTTCCTTCTCCTCTCATATTCAATCAGTTGCCAAATCTCGCTGTTTCTATGTACACATCTCTCACATCTGACCCCTTCTCTTTATTCGCCTTATTCACTTTCTCATCATCTCTTCCTACATAATTGCAATGACATCCTAATTGTTCTCCCTACCTTATCTCTTATCTCTATGTCTGATCCAGCTCCACAGTACTGCCAAAGTGATTTTCTTTAAGTGAAGATCTAACCAAGTCACTAACCTCCTCAGTAAACTCCAATGGCTCCCTATGCCTCCAGAATCAAATATAAACTACTTTTCAGTTTTGAATCTCTTTACCACCTTACCCCAACCTCTCTTTCCAACCACATTGTATATTACTCCCACATACAGACTCTAGCTGTAATCTAGCCAAACTACCCTCTCTATTCCTGACACATAGCACCCCTTTTCCAGTTTCTGTGTCTGTGAGCCAACTGGCCCTATGCCTGGAATATACTACTTCCCCATTTCTGTTTCATAGAATCCCTCTCTTCCTTTAAGATCCAAATTCAAGCACCATCTTCTACATGAAACCTATCCTGATCCTGCTCCCACCTGCTAGTGCCCTCCCTCTCAAACTGCCTTGTATCTAATTAACTACTTTCTATTTATTTTTATTAACTTTCTATTTCTTCTGCTTTTTCTAGTCAGCTCCCAGCATCAGAGCTTAACTCCAAACAGATCAGGGCCCTACATATACTGCAGAATCTGTCTTTCTCTAGTCAGCTGGGCTATGTTTCCATCTGTTTTTCAATTCCATCAGCTTGTCTTCTGTCTTCTGATGTTTTAGCCTCTATAAGTAGCTTCTTTCATTAGCTTCTACCTTCTAATTCCTGTCTTCCCTGATTTCTCAATTCTGTTGACTTCTATATTCTGTGTTCTGTTTTGTCTTCCGGCTTCGGAGTCTCAACCCTTGTAAGCAAAAGCTTATATTTATATCTAGACCAAGAGTTAATGGTCCATAGAAAGGAACAGATGTCTATTTGTACAGATAAAGACAGACAGGAAACAGAGGGAGTGTGCTACTACTGGTATGCCCCTACAGAAGACCCTGGTCATTCTCCTTCTGTTATCCCCAGCCTCCACCCACACAGAATAGTTAGTATAACTATAAGCAGATTATACAACCACACACCTCCCTCCTCTAGGTCAAGCAAGGACAGTGGGCTAAAAGTGAGGAGCTGTCATAGCATCAAGTTAAGGGATTCCTCCCCCACTAGGCATTGCAGGATACCCTGAGATAAGCTGGCTGAGGCCTATGCTTGGGTCAGCGTGTCCTGACAAAAGTAAGCCTACTTTTCAAGAACTAAACAATGTAGTCTAAGAAAGAGCTCATGGTTCAAGCAGCATTCACTACTCAGTCGCAACAGAGGAAAATGTAATACCTAATTATAGTATGAATCATCCTGCAGGGCATGGAGCACTTACCTACTAGCCCAGAAGGTGAACCCTAGACCAGCTGTTAAGGTCCCTTTCTTCTCCCCTGTGGGCTGCCTCCTTGTTTCATTGCCCATTCATGTGAGTCTGCCAGCAGGGTAGGCCCTCCAAAGGACAGGGCCAGGAGCAATCATTCTGATTCACCTTACACTAGAGATAGCTGTTTCTGAGACATTTGACTTGACTTGAAAACGTAGCAACCCTAATCAGATTGTAGTTAATTAAATTCTACTAAATGATACTTAGAAGCAATAAAGTAACATACATCTCATATTTGAAAAATAACACATTTAGTTAGTCACCCAACATTTGAGACGTAATACACACAAACAAAATTAATTTTATATCCCTTCTAAGGAAGAGATTTCCTTCCCACCTCCTCACGTTTTTATTTTTATTTTTTTTAAATCACAAAACCTCTATGAACTACAATGTTTTGTCTTCAAATAAAAGCTACATAAACACAAATAAATAAAAATTGTGGTGTGGAGACAAACTGAATGAACAACTTTCCCCCAAATTCAAGCAATGTCTTCTCTTTTTTACTATGACCCAGAAACAATTCAATTAATTTTCTCTTCCAATGGGGCTCATCAACCACTGCCAAAACATTGTGGGGAGAATTATGATGTTAATGGTACTTTGATTGATTATGTATGTAACTGCTCTCACATGATAACAGATAATCAAATAATAGAATTTTAATAACATAATAAGGTCTAGGAATTACAAGTTCGAGTAAGGTCATTTTAATAGCAATCTCATGTCAAGTTTGGCCCAGAAGTTTTGAAAAACATAGTTTCTTGGGCTTTTAAGGATTTTTTTTTAGTTACAAAGTTGATAAGTTATATATACACTTAGACATATATGGATATATACATGTACAAATACATATGTACATATACATGTACATATACTGTGTATTTATTGTATTATACCTATATGAATATACATGCGTGCATATATACATACATGCATACATACCTATGAGTGTGTAAATGATAGAGTACTGGTCTCAGACTAAGGAAGACTTGGGCTTGCATCCTGCCTCAAACACTTACCAGCTAAGGAATCCTGGACAAAACACTCACAGAAGTCACTGCTTCCTAGGTTTATTGTGAGTAGAAAATAAGATAATATCTGTAAGACACCTTGCAAACTTTTACATGGTATATAAATGCTAGTTGTTCCCATTATTTTATGAAAAGTAAAGTAATTTTTGTGAATCAGACACACTTTTAAAATTTTTCCTTTCTTAGTTTCTAAGCTTTTCTTGGGTTCTCTTGAGGCCGCCCACTGAGATAAGAGAATGGGGTCTGTGTACACTAGTGATTCAGGTCAATTAGCAGGGTCCTGAGGAAGGAAACACACCTGGAGAAGAGAGGTGCATAGTTCAAACCCATGTCAGAACTATTAAATGTAATTCTGTGTAGACGTCAGCATATTTTACTTAACTGTTTGTGGGGAGGAGTGCAGAGTTCAGCTTTAAATTTGTTGGGGTTTTGAATCCGTGTCAAAACCAAATCTGTCAATTTTGTGAAAGGCTGAGATTAAGCAGTTTTTTGAATCTGAGTTCACTAGTCAAGAGGTTAGGCAGAAAATGAGTCAATAAGGATCAATAAGTCCAATGTGTGTGTGTGTGTGTTAGAGGGGGGAGAAGGGAGGAAAGATTGAATAAAATAAAATCAAGAAAACACCGTGCAGGAAGTAGCAAAAGGCACTAGCAATCGCACTTCGTTCCATTCAGAGTCTGACATCATTTTAAAGGCAATAGCATGATAACAATGTGTACTTAAACTCCACACACGTACACCAAAATGTCTTTATCATAACTAATTTGCATTTCTAGTCTATGTAAAAGTGTGGGGCAAAATTTTCTATTGGTCTTAGGGTTCTGAGATACACACACATATAAAAAAACACAGAGATACATACATACACACACATACATACATATATACGTATATACCTACATATACCAATACATACAGATATAGTCTCTGGGTCAGAGATTTCTTCCTAGAATAAGGTATCTATTCCATAGACTTCTCACTTTACTTCTCTTAAAGCTGAGCTATAAACCAGGTAATGATTATCTGCTTAATAATTACCACAGAGCTTTGGAGGTTCAGGATTTCCCAGTTTGTAAACTCTTAAATCTCTTCTGTTCTCATGTGTTGATGAGTAGGTGAAGGACAAAAACTGAGATAATGCCAAGTCATTGGCAAGGTCACTGTCTCTGCTGTCAGTTTAACCATTTCCTAACTCTTTCTATCAAAGCTTGTAAGGGGCTTTTCTCCATACCCCTATACCTACTTGGAGTACTTTAATCATGCTCAAAAAGTTTTAGTTTCTATTTACTAGCCCTAGGATGAAATTCAAACTCTTCTGGGTTCCAGCCAAACTGGCCTACTTTCTGATCCCTGTATACAACATATCATCTCCCAATGCCTAGAATGAATTTCCTTCTCATTTCAGCCTTTTAGAATTGTTGACTTGCTTCAAGGATCAACTCAAGTCCCACTTTCTACATATGACCTCTTCTAATTCCCCAATTTATTGGTGATTTCCCTGTAATTAATTTGTATCTACTTTGTATATCATTTGCATTTACTTTTTATCTCCAGTAGAATATAAACTCCTTGAGGTCAGGAACTGATTCATTTATTGTTTGTAATCTTCAACTTCTAGTAGAATATCCAACTGTTGATTGTTGAATCTTGCATGTCTGGAGTAGACTCTTTCCATCTCCATCTTTCGAAGTTGCTTTCTTCTTGATTCAAATTCACTTCCTCAGACAGAGAAAAGAGAGAAAACAGGGAGATGGCACACAAGCTTCGTGATATAACAAGAATCATAAAATCCCAGATTTGGAAGGTACCTATGTAAGAGGTCATATGGTCCAACCCTAAACAAGCATGCCCTCTACAACATACTTGATCAATGGTCTTCCAGCCTTTGACAGGAGACCTCCAGTGAAGAAGAATACACTTTCCCAAGTTGACCTATTCTACTTATGGATAATTTTAATTGTTAGGAAGTTTCTCTTACATCTAACCTAAATTTATCTCTGTAAGACTTACACCCACTGTTCCTAGTTCTACCATCTGCTATAAAAAAGAATAAATCTAATCTTTCTTCCACATTATATTCCTTCAGATATTTGAAGAAAGTTATCAAGTCTCCCCTCAGACTTTTCTTCACCAAACTAAATACACCCAATTTCATCAACTGATTATTATTTGGTGTAATCTCAGGACCCTCTACTACGCTGCTGGCTTTCCTCTGAAAACTCTCCAGTTTATCATTGACCTTCCTAAAATGTGGTCCTCTAGAATTAAACACAATACCCCAAATATGGTCTGACCAGGGCAGAGAACAGAGGGATTATCACCTTCCCAGAACTACTGAACTCTATAGTTTTCTTAACGCAATTTAAGATCACTTTAGACTTTTGGGTCATCATGTCACCAGGTTGACTTCTATTTAATTTCCAGTCTATTAAAATCTTCAATTCCTTTCAGTTGAACTGTTGCTTAGTCTCCCATCTTGTTGATGTTGGTATTTTGAATCCAAGTGTAAGCCTTTACAATTATTCAATATCATATTGTTATATTTGACTCAAAGTAGTCTAAGGCTACTGAAAATTTTTTATATCACATTCCTATCATGCAAAGTGTTAACCTATCTCTTCCAGCTTCTTGTCATTTGCAAATTTTAATAGTAATAAATTATCAATAAGCAATTATTAAATGCCTACTATGTGCTAAGTGCTGGGGATACAAATAAGAGAAAGAAAGGCAATCCCTGCCTTCAAGGTGCTTACAATCTAATGGAGGAAGACAATATACAAAAAGAAGTATTTGATAAGCATTCTATCCATGTCTTTACCCAAGACATTTATAAAAATGTTGAACACCACAAAGTGAAACCCAGATCTCTAGAACGTCCTGCTAGACTCCTCCTTCCAAGTTGACTTTTTGGGTTCAGCATTTAACCAGTTCTGAAATGCACTCATCTATACTTTTTTCTAGGCTGCATCACTGCATCTTGTCAACAAAAATAACATGACAGGCTTTATCAAATGCTCTGCACGTGCACCTAATACGGTGCTTAGTAAAGTAGGTGTTTAATAAGTATTTATTGTTGACTGGCTGCTGAAATATAGGCAAATTATATCTACAGCATTTATCTGTAAAGAGAAAAAGGAAAAAGGGTAGGAAGTCTGACTTCCAGAAGGAAGGAAGGAAGGAATGATGAAAGGAAGCCTGGCTTAATCTGTTCTCTTAGATGGAGAGTTGATCCACAAATCAATTGACATAGACTTTTCCAAGAACAATGGCAGTACCAATCTGACTACTGAGCCCAGAGTAAGTTGGAAAGTCAAGAGGGAAGGGGAGGAAGAAGAGAGAGAAAGGAGGAAAAAATATAAAAGTTATATTCCCACTGGCAGGGTAGATATCAAGACGGCAGGATGGCTGGATGGATAACATATGATGGGTGGTCTGGAAATTGGTTTACACTTTCTCATCAGTCAAGATGGCTTAGCCCAGGGCACTTTTTGACTCAGCCTTTTTGCTTTTCCAGATGGGGAGAAGTAGGGCAACAGTAGTGCCAATGGCAAGATGGCCAAGATGGGCAGCTGGGTGTGATGTGAAGTGTGGTCTAGTCTGATGGTCTGGGACCAGCTGGATACAATAGGTCAATTGAATTTGTGCTCACTTACCATTCAAGAAAATTGGTATTCTTTATCACTGGTGCATTGTTATTCCTCCTGAGAGTTTTTCCATATATCCTGTTCTGTCCCTAATTAGCTAGTCTCTTTCTTTAGCTCTCTCTCTCTCTCTCTCTCTCTCTCTCTCTCTCTCTCTCTCTCTCTATATATATATATATATATATACATATATATACATATGAAGCTATAAAAAGGAATATGCCACTATATATGGGTGTCCAGTTTAGGTATCCATTCCCTGTTCACTTATCATACCTGAGCTAGCCAGACTATTTATTTACAAGAGAATAATAATTCATAACAATTTAATAGGATAAGGTAATTAAAAGCATAATGGAGAATGGGGATGTCATTGGATGGTAGGCTAAATATAGGGCTACAGAGCTAATAGTTATACCCAGAGTCAAATGTCCCACCACTACCACCACCACCACAACTACCACTACCAAAGCTGTTAGTTCAGTCCGATTTGGTAATGTGCATCTCTACTGGGTTTGCCTGCTTTCCACCTCCTCAGTCAATTCTAGTTTAGCTTCCCCACATGTCTGTTCTTCTCTCAGTCTTGTCTTCCCACCTCCATGCATCCTCAGCAAAGAGATCTCACTCCATGCTTTGTATTTCTGGGCTTTCATTGACAGAGGGCTGTGCACCTGTCCCACACCCTCTGCTGCTCCTGGCAGGAGAATCACGTATCTCAGGTGGATATACTTTCTCTTTCTTATCTCTCCTCCTACATGTGCCCCCAAAATCTGAACTGAAGTTTCCTTCAGGAACCAGAAATCTGGATATTCTTGCACATGTGTGTGCCTGCCAAGTCTCTAAGCCCTTTCGTTCAGCAAAGTTGGTCTATAGAAGTACCTATGAAAGAAAAGTGCCAAGCCCAAGACTGGATAACATCTACTGTAAATGTTCTAAATATATCCGTAACTGAAGTTTCCCAGCACTAAGTAGGCCTTGTGATTCTCTCTGGGCTTTAAATACTTTCCAAAGATAACTGATCCTCTGCCTGTCCTATCCCAAGAATAGCACCATCTGTATAAGAATATAACCATGCAGATTTGGGATTTGCACACCTAGATGATCTGATGGGAGTTCATTTGCCCAATTATAATCCCATGCTTTGTATCAGCCAATGAGCAAGCCTCCTGTCTGCTGTTCTTTATCTGTATTCTGTATTGGCTACCAACCTTTTCCATCACCATATAACCTCTGTGCACCCTAGGCAAGGCTATAAAAACAAGGAGAGTTTTCCTAGCACCTCAAAAATCATACTAATTTCAATCCATCACCTGGGATACCCACAAACTTTATAAAAGACAACCCTTCCATTATAAAAGAATCCTAAAATTACAGAATTTTAAAACTGGAAGGAATCTTAATGAACCAGCCCAACTTCCTTGAAGGACACTGGGGTCTATCTTGATTGTTTAAGTGACTTCCCAAAGACCTCACAGCAAGGTAGCTGCAGAACTAGGAATAAAGTTAAGTCTCCTATTTCCTGGTCCAGTGCCCTTTGAACTACATCATGTAGTTCATACAGAGAAAGCCTCTAAGTCAGTAGATAGTGGATGACCTGAGTTCAAATCTAACCTCAGACACTTAATAGCTGGGTGACCCTGGGCAAACTCATTTAACCATGGCAGGCTGCCTCAATCTCCTCACCTGTAAAATGGGAATAATAATAACACCTACCTCTCAAGGTTGCTGTGAGGATAAAATGAGGTAATAGTTGTAAAGCATTTTGCAAACCTTAAAGCACTATAAAAACACTAGCTATTGTTATTTTCCCTAGTACTCACAATCACTGAATAGTTCTAGCAGAGAAATCTTAAAGATTTTGATTTTTTCTTGAGGTCAGGGATCATACGTCATTCATCTTTGTATCCTCCATAGCACCTAGCATGGCAGCACATGTTCAGTAATGTTTACTTAAGAGAATGAATGAATACTGGGAAATTACAAGTTTGTCACATTGCAGATATGTAACAAGGGCCACAGCCCTTAGCAGATGTGAAGCTAGGAGCACTACTGGTTAAAAAAACAAAACTGGAAGTGTTCACCTGAGTTTCTCTGTCAACCTGTCTATGATAAAGTCAATAACTGGTCTGCAGGATAAATGATTAATCACCTAGAGATTTTCTTCCATGGCAGCTTGCATGGCAAAAAGAACAGTTATTCTCTACACATGAATTTTGCCTTCTCTGCAATAATTCACGCAGCTTAAGAGGACTCCTGAAAATACCCCTAGGTGCTATCTAGCTGGAGAGAATTAATAGAAGTAATGGATGGTGAAAAATCCTAATTCTGGAAAAATCTTTCTTAAGCTTTCCCTGCACATTTTAAATTACACAAGCCACATAGCCTAAATCAATAATTCAAGCAAAGAGCATGATACCTGAACTTTGTTCACATGAAACATTGCTCTTGGTGCATACACATGATCAGGAAGTGAACCGCTAACTGGAGGGAACAGAGTACAATGGAAACGGGCATGAAATTTGGAATCAGAGGCCATGGGCTCTTCACCTGCAAGGTACACCCACTCCTTCATTCACTAAACATTTATGAAGCACCTACTATGTGCTGGAGGTCAAAAGACAATATAAAAATATTCCCACCCTCAAAGAACTTACATCCTACTTGAGGAAAAGAAAAATAGTAACAAAGAAATTGCAAACTACAGACACAAATAATTACAGGCAGCAGTGACTGGAGTAGTGGGGGGAGGGGAGATAGATAAGGAAAGGTAGGAGCTATTACTTGACCTAAGCCTTGAAGGAAGTTAGGGGTTTGAAAAGACTTAGGGGAGGAAGCAGTGTATTCCAGGCAATGGAGGCAGGAGATGGAATATTGTGTAGATGGAACAAAAAGTCAGTTTAACTGGCATGAGGGGGGATAAGGTGCAATCAGCTTGGAAAGGTTGTTAGGAGCTAGCTTGAAAAGGGCTTTACATGCCAAATGAAGAGTCTGTATTTTATCCAAGAGGCAAAAGGGAACCAGGGGAGCTCCTTGAGCAAGGGAGGGATGTGGGCAGCTGGGTAGAAAGCATATTGGAAAGGATAGACTTACCAGCAACAGCAACAATAACAACAATGACTTCTGGCAATGAGAGCAAAAGGAAGTAATTGCAATAGTCCAGATGAAAGGTGATGATGGGATGGCAGCCCAAGTGGAGAAAAAGGGACAGATGTGAAAGATGGCATGGAGGCAGAAGTGACAAGACCTGGCAACTGATGAGACGCGGGGGATGAAGGAGAATGAAGAAGCAAGGATCGAAGGGGGCAAACTGGGGTGATGAGAGGGTAGCAGTAACGTTGAAAAAAAAGGAAAGTCTGAAAGAAGGGTAAGTTGGGGGAATGTTCTGCTTGGGACTTTTTGAGCAGTCTGTAAGATACTCAGTTCAAAATGTCCAACAGACAGTTGGTATTGCAAGCCTAAAACGCAGAAGCAAGACTAAGATTGGATATAAAAATTTGGGAGTAATCCAAATTAAATTAATCATTAACCCATGGTAACTCATAAGATCATCAAGAAGGGATGTGGAGAAATAAAGGAAAAGGTAGCAAGAGAATGCCTTGGCAGATATCCATAATCAGGAAAACCCAGGAAGGAGGGAGTCCAATAATAATAATAATGAAAACAACAACAACAATAACAACTACCATTTATATGATGCTTTAAGGTTTGCAAAGTGTGTTACAAATATTTTCTCATTTTATCCTCATAATAACCATGGAAGTTAGATGCTTTTATTAACCTGATTTTATAGCTGAGGAAATTGAGGCAAGTAGAGGTCTGATGACTTGCCCAGAATCATATAGCTAATAAATGTCTGAGGTCAAATTTGAATTCAGGTATTCCTAACTCCAGGTCTAGCACCCCGATCTACTATTCCACCTAGTTTTTGTTTGTTTGTTTTTTGTTTTTTTGCAAGGCAATCAGGGTTAAGTGACTTGCCCAGGGTCACACAGCTAGTAAGTGGCAAGTGTCTGAGGCCGTATTTGAACTCAGGTCCTCCTTACTGACTCCAGGGCTGGTGCTATATTCACTGTGCCACCTAGCTGTCCCCTACCTGTTGTGAGTTGTGTCAAATGCTGCAGAAAGATTCAGCTGGATAACAACTGGGGGGAAAACTTAGTTTTAGCAACTGAAAGATCACTGGCAATATAGAAGAAAGTCATTTCAATGACTTAATGGGGTTGGGATCCAGATTGTGAGGAGCTGAGAAGTAAATGAAAAGATTGTAAGTAAAGCAAAGACATTTTTTTTTTTGGTAGAAGTTTGGCCATGAAAGGGAGGAGTGATATAGGAAGATAGTTTGAGGGGATGGCAGTATTGAATGTTTTTTAAAGATGGTGGAAATATGAGCATATTTGTAGGCAACAGAAATGAAGCTAGGAGAGAGGAAGATACTGAAGACTTCAGAAAAGGACAATTGAAGAACTATGCTGACAAGGCAGTTTGAGATGTAAAATAGGAAAGAAGAGGCTGCACAAATAGTCTCTGTTTTCACAATAAAATATGAGGCAAGAGTCTCTGCAGCGGAGGAGGCAGAGGATGAACTTACAACATATGACTCTAGTATAATGGTGTCAAACTCAAATAGAAACAGAAGAAGGGGAGCATTTCAATTTAGAAAACCACAGATTGGTATTATCTATGGTATATTGTATTTTTCATTTTTTTTTTGAACATTTCCCAATTACACCTTAATCTGTTTTGAGCTGCAGCACTGGGCATTTTTGTGGGTGGAGAGTTTGATACCTGTCCTCTATGTTTAATGTTCCAATGTTTAAGAAAAATAGTTCCTGGTTTGCTACTTGGAAAAACTGGTAATTTGATTGTCAGAGATTAAATGTGCTTCTATAAAGCATTAAATGTATGGAATAGTTCCTAAGAAGATTATGTATATTTCTTTTGGCACAACCAGTAGAGTACTAACCAGGAAAAATATCATTTTTCCTAGTATAGAGCTACTCTAAACCAGGGGACAAAAAACTGGGTATTTGCCCATGTAAGTTTGAGTGAATAGTTACATAATTTGCCAATTTACCATCTGCTGTTATCCCTGCCTTTCTAAAAGCCTTCAGATAATTTTCATGATTTTTTTTAGTTGTACTTGTTTTTTCTAGCTCTCAGTCACAACACATGTAGGTATGAACTATGTTAGCCCAAGTGGAGAAAAAGGGATAGATGTGAAAGATGACATGGAGGCAGAAGTGACAAGACCTGGCAACTGATGAGACGTGGGGGATGAAGGAGAATGAAGAAGCAAGGATCGAAGGGGGCAAACTGGGGTGATGAGAGGGTAGCAGTAACGTTGAAAAAAAAGGAAAGTCTGAAAGAAGGGTAAGTTGGGGGAATGTTCTGCTTGGGACTTTTCGAGCAGTCTGTAAGATACTCAGTTCAAAATGTCCAACAGACAGTGGGTATTGCAAGCCTAAAACTCAGAAGCAAGACTAAGATTGGATATAAAAATTTGGGAGTAATCCAAATTAAATTAATCATTAACCCATGGTAACTCATAAGATCATCAAGAAGGGGTGTGGAGAAATAAAGGAAAAGGTAGCAAGAGAATGCCTTGGCAGATATCCATAATCAGGAAAACCCAGGAAGGAGGGAGTCCAATAATAATAATAATGAAAACAACAACAACAATAACAACTACCATTTATATAATGCTTTAAGGTTTGCAAAGTGTGAAATTGTACTTCTTAAGATTAAAAGCAGATGTGCCAAATAGGATCCCAAGATAAGTGCATTTTCAAGCAAATTCATCGTAAATTTAGTAATGCTGAGTATTGGACCATGGGTCACAAGGGAGTGAAAAGAGTGTAATCCCTTGACCTATGTTATCCCTAAATAAATTAGTCCTCACATGCTAAATTCACAGTCCCATCCATTTCCAACTACACATAAGATACTGTTTTAGTAGGCACAAACCCATTTTTACCCAAGCCCTGAGACTTTAAATTGCTATACAAAGAAACTGAATATGTATTTAAAATTAGATCTACTTACATATTCTAAAAATACACATCCGACATTCTTAGCAAGCAAGTGTCATGCTCCTCTTTCCGTCATTTTAGATTATTCTCTTACAGTCAGTCCTCTGCTATGGCTCCCCCCAGCACAGTCAGATGGTGACTCCATAGACCTAACCAGGAAAAACAAACTGTGAATTCAAACAGCTACCTTTTATGTATTATGTATGTATTCATTTATTTGGGGAGGGTCAAATTTTCCCAGAAAATAAGTTGGTCTTGTGACATCTAACTTGTAAAGAGTTGTCATGCAAAAAACTGGAAGAAGCTCAATCTATTCTGCACATCTGGAAGAGTACACACCCTTCCAGGCACAAAGAGGAGGGTGTCCTCCTCTACTCCCATTCCAGGCTCCTGCTATCTGAGGTAATTCCTGGATTCCTTAGAAAATAGCCCAGTTGTTCCCAGGCTCCACCCCATGCTTAGCCTATGTGTTTCCAGAAAGCCAAAAAAAGATTTCAGTCCTTGCATTTGAGACTCTCCTTGAAGAGGTGATAAATGTGTCAGCATTAGTAACAGGGAAGGAACACAGAGGCCTCAGACAGGAGAGGACATCATTACTGCTTAAGTCCTCTGGTAAACATTCTAGCATCAACCCCCAGAACTAAAAGGGGGAAAACACCAGGGAAACCAAAGGGAATGAGATCATGCTGTTGCACCATGGTGTTCCCTAGCATACATGTAATAACAGTTCTCCCTAAATAGCTAACGTTATTTTATCCAGCAGGAGGCTGCCCTTTCGTGAGGCTATCTCTATATGACGATATCCATGAAAAGAATTATAGCTTCCTATACTTTCTGTTTTTGCCATGTCCTCAGGAGGGGGGGCCAAAATAGCAGTGTCAAAAAGGAATCTGGAAAGAACGTTTCTGTTGGTTCTGTGGTCAAGTCATGCTTGGAAGTGATTGATAGGGTAAGTGTTCTTCCCAGGGTGACTTATAGGATCACAGAGCTGAAAAGAACCTTAGAAGTCACCAAATCTAACCTCTTTGTCTTACTGATGAGGTAACTGTATGATCTTCGGCAAATCACTTCATCTCTCTGGGGCTCAGTTTCCTCACCTGTCAAATGAGTGGATTGAACCAGATACTCTCTAAGGTCCCTTCCAGCCTAACAAGTATGATCCTTTGAGACCCCAAAGAGTCTCAAAGTGGCTTGCAGTGGTAATCACAGAGATAGTAAATAGCTGAGCTATGATCCAAACCCTGCTTTTCTGAGTCCCAGCTGAGCAGTCTTTCCACTATACTCTGCCCACTTCTCCAGCAACACCATTGGAAATATACAGGGCCATCTCTCAAACCCACCTCAGAGGAACACAGACCCATGATAGAAATTACAGGGTCTGGCAATTTGCATCCTGCTACAGAGAGCTCTCAGAAAATCTGTTCCTTAGCTTGGCTCTCCCTCTTCAAATCCCCAGCTTCTTTGAAGCTCTGCTTTTCTTGTTCCTCCTCCCATTCCTCCAGCTGTTAATGCTCAAAGGTAAATGGAAAGAATGACCACCATCAAACAATAGAAAGTCAATGTTACCAAATCGCAAAGAACAAACATGGCCCCAAAGAAGAGATATGAGAAGACGCTTTCTCCCCTCTCCAACAGAAATCAACAATTAATAAACGTTTATTAAGCTCCAACTCAGTTTCAGGCATTGTGCTAAATCAGGGGTGGGGAACCTGTTCCCCATGCCTGTGCTAAATGCTAGGGATACAGTTCGGGAGATAATATGCAAACTATATATGAGTGTGTACGTGTATGTATATATAAATGTATGTGTATGTATGTGTCTATGTATATGTATGTGTGTGTGTGTATATATAAAACATAAATAAAAGATATAGAAATATATAAAATATATATGTGTAATATATATACAAGCTACCTACAGGATAAATAGGAAATAATTAACAGAGAGAAGGCAATAGAATTAAAGGGGATTAGGAAAGGCTTCCAGGAAAAGAAGGGATTTTAGTTGGGATTTTAAGGAAGCCTAGGAAGTCAGTAGGTGGAGTTGAGTACACATTCCTTGGTAGAGGAGGAAGGTTCACAAGTATAGAACTGCACACATTTTTTAGACTTTTTCTTATGTATTGACAGTTTGGCTGATATTTTTCTCTTCTTCCTCTCTTTTCTTTTCCTTTAAAAAATATTCTTTGTTATGTGGAATGGCTCTCAAGAAGAGGGAGGGGGAAGGCTATTGAAGAAAATATGGGAGATATGAAAACAGAAGATATCATCAAAATTTATTTTAAGAAAATTACTTTGTATAATCTTGCATGTATGTCACATTTAGAAAGGCTGAGTGGCCTAGTGGGTAAAGAGATGACATCAGAGTCAGTAAAAGATCTGGGTCCAAGTTCTGCCTTTGACATATCCTGGGCAGGTCACTTAAGTTCTTAACTCCCTGAGACTATCAGTTGCAGTACAACAGCCCATCTGTTTGGTAGAAGGAATTTCCTTAGCAGGAGGTCCTTACATTTACTTATTTGCATTTACTTATCTGTGTGTGAATTGTATTGCTGCTGCACCAGTGACCATCCCATGCAGCATGATGGCGGGAAGGATAAGCCTACCCCTTCCTGGTATGTTCACTGGAAGGAGCCTGGGCCCCAGTCTATTCCCACGCATAATCCAAAAGCCGATGACTGTTGTACCATAGTAGAGTGTAAATTCCCTTGAGCACAAGGATTTTATCTCTAGCATCTAGCCCACTACCTTGCACATAGTAAGGGCCTAATAAATGTTTGTTGAATGAAAATAAATTCAAAGGTTTAAGAGGGAAATGAGAGCACATCACACCATTTGAAGAAACTTACCTCAAACTGGACATTTCTTAATCATCCCCCCAACACAAGTATGTGTTCATGTTGAGATGTACCGAATAGCCTGGCACCAGGGTGGGGCTACATTCTCTGACATTCATTTCCTTATTTTAACACTTTAATGATCTGTGATTTCATCAGCATGAGTGTTCCCTCCTCTAGCACAAATCTCACCCCACCCATGACTTACTTTATGAGTAGCTGTGGTTGGAGTAATTCTTAACTTGGTAGCCATATTTTTAGTGATGAATGGCTCTCATAACTTAGCTGTACACACATACGTACACACACATACACACATGCACGTACACATGAATGTATGCGAGAATGCATGCACACAGTCAGTCCATCATCCAGCCCAGCATGAAGCTTCTCCTTTGGGGGAAGGGGGGAGGGAAAGTTCAGAGCTTATGCTTTGTTAACTTAGCCTTATACAACCCAGAGTCGCTCTCATTCAACAGTGAGGCATTATGATAGCACTATAATGAGGGTACAATATTCCCTCAATAATCTCCAGTGGCTCCCCATTGCCCCAGGATAAAATACAGACTCTTCATGCAGACCTCATTTCATTTCACCCTCCCTCAAATGCTCCGTGTTTCAGCCAAACTGATCTATTAGTTGTTCCTTGAACTCAATATTCCATTCATGGAGGCAACAACGGGGCTGTGGAAAGAGGCCTGGATTTGGAGTTAGGAAATGGGCTTAAATCTTAGATCCTCCACTTTTCCCCTATTTGACTTTGGAGCAGCCACTTATTCTCCCTAGGCCTCAGTTTCCTTACTTGTAAAATGGGGGGATTCAAGTAGATGATCTCTACATCCCCTTGCAGTCCTATGATTATATGATCTATGAGCCCATCTCCATGCCTTCACATAAGCTGTTCCCCCACACCTGGGATGCCACCTGAGATGAGCTTCCTCACTGATTCCAGGTTCCTTTGAGGGTTGCCTCAGATTCCATCTCTTCTTAAACCTTTTCCTGATCTCTTCAGATGTTAGAGTTCTTTCTCTCCTCCAACTACCTTACATTTACTTATCTATATATAGATTATATCACCCTAGCCAACTGTACTCTCCTTGAGGGCAGGGGTTGTTTTGTTCCTGCCTTTCTTTGTGTCCATAAGTACCTTGTTCATTGAGTAGAAGCTCAATAAACATTTGCTGAGTTGAATTCCAAGTCAACTTCTAACTAATATTTTTAGATAAGCATTTCCCAGATGTGCTACATATAAAGCCTGCTGGGTAGCACAGTGAGTAGAACACTAGACTTGGCCTTAGGAAGTTCAAATCTTACCTTAGACAGGATTTGAATAGCTATGTAACTCTGAGCAAGTCACTTACCTCTCAGCTTCCATTTTTGTCATCTGTCAAGGGGGAATAATAATGGCACCTGTACCTCAAAAGCTTGTTCTGAGCACCAAATGACATACCACAAGTAAAGTGCTTTACAGACGTTTAAGGCACTATATAAATGTCGGTTATCATTATTACGTAGCGTAACCAAGACAATGTAACAACCAACATCTGAAATAACAAGTTAGTTATCCCTCCCCAAAGGCATCCTTTATGGCCAGATAACCCTCTGTTGATGGTCTGAGTTCCTCAGGCAGTTTTTTTGGCCTATTACCAGGGTCAAGGAAGCAGCTAGTCCTGCCAATAGCTCTAATGAGGAAACCAGCTTCTTTCTGACTCTGAGGCTGCCTGAAGGCAGTACACGAAAACATGAAGACGGAGAACAGACGGTGAAATATACCTTCCTTCTCTCAACAGATACACATGGAATACTGGAGTAGAGTGTTGCACACATTGTCAGATAACTGGTCACTCTATTAGTTGTATAACAAAGGCGGTCTCCTCACTCCCCAGTCTCAGGTGATGTAGTCATGGACATTTCAGACTGTAATGGCAAGGTATTAATAAGTTAACTAACTTCAAAGATGCATCCATGTCCTGAAGCAGGAATAGCTTTCTCTGTTGAAATTAAAAGCATCCATCTCATTGGATGAGCCAGGCTTTTAAATAGTTAAGCCTTAAGGGTTCCAAAAGAGTGTAGTCTTGAGAGAACTTTGCAAAGGAGACCCCTTCAGGAAAGAAAGTAGGAAGGAATTTCTCCTACCCTCCTTTCCCCTCTTTCCCCCTCCCCATCCTTACCCCAAAGCCCCATTCCCACTCCACCCCCACATGAGATCTAACAAAGATTTGCCCAATAGGAGATTCTCTAAACAGTAATTCAAAGTCAAGACGTCACCCTGTGAAGTCACTGGTCCTCTTCGAAAACAGGTGAATAACAAT